GGTGATGAAAACCCGGAGCGTTCGCAAAGAGTTCATCGTCGTCAAAACAAAAAAATTGTTTCTGAACTTCTTCATCAAAGTGATGCTTCTGTATCACAAGAAGGTAATAAGTGTTACTAGTTGTTCAAGATGATATTTACCTAAGTAGAAATTTCAGTTGAATGTATTTGCGTTGAAGCGGTCGAGGATGCTGGTAAAGATACCAACCTTTCGCAGGCGTTTGAGGAGGAGAATGAGGAAAATTGTGCTCTTGCAGCCAATAGTATTGCTGATGCATCAGCGTTACAAATCAGCCTTGCAAATCGGTCCTCTTCAGTACAAGAAATGGAAGATTTGCAAGCAAAATGGTAAGTCGATTCTCATTAATTTTTTAATTTAAATTATTTAATGTGATGTATATAACCTATTTAGTGAAGCGTTACAAAAAGAAAACGCATCTCTTCGAAAAGAGAACAAAAAGCTCCGAAGTGAAGTCACGGCACTAAATCGAAGTCATTGGTTGAAGGACAAGAAGCACGATTACAACATGAATGTGGCAAAAAAGCGTGTGCGGATAGCGGAACATTTCTGCAAAAATATGGAACAAAAGTTGGAAGGGATTTTTACAAAAGGCCAAATAGCGAAGTTGAAGAATGGCGTTAAAAGACCACTTTGGAGCGAGAAAGATATAGCCCAATCGATTACTCTGTACGCTGCTGGTGCGAAATCGTACAAGCTTATGTACAAGAAGGGCTTTCCCCTTCCTGGAGTCAGAACATTGCAGACATGGTCAAAAAAAATTGATGTTTCCCGAGGATTGTTAGAGCCAGTATTCAAATTAATGGCAGCATGTACGCATATTACTGAAAGACAAAAGCTGTCTGTGTTGTGCTTCGATGAAATGAAAATAAGAAAGACGTACTGCTATGATGCTTCATCTGATTCGACGCTAGCTCCAGCCAGTTATGTTCAAGTAGCGATGCTAAGAGGTACATACATACATACTTGTAAAAACATTTCATAATACGAAATCTATGTACAATTTTATATATAATTTTCCCCATTAGGCTTAGTATCCAACTGGAAACAGCCAATTTTTTATGATTACGACTGCAGGATGACCAATCACATATTACAAAGCATTTTGCGAGCGACGAAAAAATGTGGATACAATGTTCTCGCTGTTGTATGTGATCTCGGAGGCAGCAATAGAGCTTTGTTCAACGACTTGGGTGTGCACAAAGATAATCCGTGGTTAGTAAAATGTTTCATTTCTTTATTTACACATACTAAACCAAGATATTTTTGCAGCTTTACCTTCGAAGACGAAGAAATTTTTGTGTTCGCGGACGTTCCGCATTTAATTAAACTTTGACCACGGATATGTCATTGATGGGAAAATAGTCAAAAAGGACATAATATTAGAGCTGATGTCATGCACCTCAAAAGACCTAAGCATCACACATAAGATCACCGCTAGCCATCTCAACGTATCTGGACCGCATAGGCAAAAAGTCAAAACGGCCACAAAGCTGTTTTCGCATACGATAGCGCAAGCAATCACAAGAGCTGCAAGCTTGGGGCACTTGAGTGGGCACAACTGGCAGGAATGCTTCCAATTGTTTAAAAAGGTAAAAGTTCTACACCTAATATAAGCAATCATATATCTGTGTAATAATCTCTTATACTTTTTAGACGAATGATTGGTTTGACGTGATGAACGTCAGGGTGCCTCATGCTGATTCTAGGGTGCGGCGTCACGGGTATGGTCTTGCAGTCGATGTTCAAAACCAAATATTGGACGAAATGTCAGGACTGGTGGGGAATATGAGAGTCGTTGGAAAAAATGCGCTATTACCGTTTCAAAATGGTATATAACAGTTTTAATTATGCTTAATATTTTAAATAATCTATATGTACACATGCCTCTGATTAATTTTAGGAATTATGCAATCAAATAAAGCCGTAAAATTGTTGCTTGCCAGCCTTCAACGACGATTCGGTGTCAAGTACATTCTGACGTATCATTTAAACCAGGATGTACTTGAAAACTTCTTTGGAGTTATACGCGCTAAAGGTGGTTTGCGCGACCACCCTGACCAGCAGGAATTTAAATATCGGCTCAGAACATACATTCTTGGGCGCAATGAGGGCGCAATTTCTACGGCAGGGAATGTCGAGGTTGATGATACCCCAGATTTAGAACCATCTCAGCCTACTCTTACAGGTATTTGAAATTTTTTGTATTGTAATATAATGTACATACTTACACAGGTACGAAACTTTTTATACAGGTACGATATTGCGACCCATGAAACTTCCATTGGAAGAAATTGAACCAAAGGAGTTTGATGATCTAGAATATGATGGTCTAGAAAATGTAGCCGGATATATATGTCACAGACTACGTGATGAAATTCATACCTCGTCCTTCAAAACTAGCGAGGACCCATCACTCTCATGGGCGAACCACTAAAGTGAGGGTGGTTTATCACTTCCAAGCGCAAGTATGATGGAGTGCATGTCACAACTTGAGTCAATATTTGTAGCAGTTAATGGAGAGACACTACTCATTAGTAATAATTTTATAAAAGAACTCATAGACCAAGCATCTGATATTGAATGTGACATAAAAATTAAAAAAATATTTTTCAGAACACGAATGTTTGCTAAAATACGAAAACTCAACCAAGAAATTATTGAAACAGCGCACAAAAGAAAACGCAAATATACAAAAATATTGACTTAGCAAAATTTGTTTTATTATTTAAAACCTTGGAATATTATATATTAATCTTTTCAATTCACAGGTAAAATCCTAAAACTACGTAAATCAACTTGTCATAAACATTTCAATTTAGTACAATTAAATGTTTGTAATTCTGTGCTGGAGGAATGTTTAGTTATTTGTACAACGATTTTTGGGTGAAGGGTGGACGGAGGGGTTGGGGCGTGGCTCCCCAAACCCCCCCCAAACGAAATAGGATGGACCGCGATTTATGAAAAGTCAGCTCGCAAGTTTGCAAAAATACCATATTTCAAACCGAAATTATTAAAAAATTATTGCAGATATAGTAATTAGTTTTTTTTTTTTAAATAAAGCGTAGACTTGTCTACAAGTGTGTGTAAACGTTTTTAGATTCGGGTCACTCGTTTGGGCACAGCAACCAAAAATGTGTGTGCAAATAACTAAACCGCATCCCTATGCTGTTTTAATTGCTTCATAGAATTGTACTTTACACTTTACCTTAATGGGTGAACCCGGATAACCGGAGCCGGGTCTGCACCGTTGGTTGCACCGGTTGCATGGTTGGCACCGTTTGCATTGTATTTCCTGAAATAAGTACGCATTGGAAGTTAGTAAAAAGTAATGTATTGTCGCAGATGCTACTTACCATGCTATGAGCACGCCCTTGCTCAACGAATTGGCCCTTTTACGCTGTTTCCTGGTTAGCGCTCTTCGATTCTCTGTAGTCTTTCTGGCATCGTATAGCTTCTATATTTGTTTCCAAGCCTTGGAGCTATGCACTATTTGCTGTGGCTTCAATTTCATTTGGAAATCTTACTCGTTCCATTTGCCTGCGCAACGGCGGCCACAGAATGCAATTTTTATTTGAACGCCCTACTCACTACCTGAAATAAAATAATAATATAAATAATGTAAAAGAAACACAAAATAAATTTACCGTCTTCTCGATTCAATAAATTGCCACCAGATTGTTTTATTTTAGTCTTTCAACTAAATTTTATTCTATATTTACTTTTCTTCGTCGAAATTGTATGCGATTTGACAGCTCGCCAACAACAACTTTTATATTATGACGTAGATGCGCAGAACGAAAAATTTTTGCACCCCTATCGGCGCAATCTTTGTATTCTATCATTCTTGATACATATCGCTGAGCAGGGTGCGATAGCAGCGTAAAGCAAAAACCAACAGCTACAACTAGGACAGCACATCATTACATGACAACATAACTACATAGCAAGCAATACGAGCAACGGTACGCAGGAAGGTGACTTCGTGGGATCTGATGGTATGAACATGCATACATATGTACTTTACTTTTTACCTATACATTTTTAAATTAAACACAACTGTACACTAAATTTGAATACAACAAAAAATGTTTCCTTATATATACTTATGTACATACTAACATACAGTTACATAATTAAAATTGTCAATATATACTTTATCATATACATATGTACATACTTGTGTTACTGTTTCTAATGGAATTTCAGAACTACAGTCGCGTGCAAATTATTGGTATCAAACCAACTTTCCTTTTTCAAGTGTTCTATAACTTAAAGTTTTTCTGACCTTCATACATGATTTTTCTTACATTTTCGAATTACACTAGCGTGTAAAATATTTCCACGCAACTTTTCTTAAAATTTAACAATTTAAAATTTTTAATAAACAGTGCCTTGCAAAGTGCTTAACGAAAACTTTTCCAAAACGTTTAATTCAAATTTTGATATTATCAAACAAACAATCTTTTTTTTTCCTGTGCTTCGCCGAGTGAGTGCTGGAAACTTTTTTTTTAAATTTTGTATAAAATCAAACTCATCGATACATGTTTTTCTTATAAACCAGGCCGTGCCATCAGATTGCCACG